CTCATAAATGAATTAATCACTTGTCATGAGATTATGAAATCGTCGAAGGGTTTTTAACCTCTCAAATGCAATAAGGAGGCTGCAGAAATCTTCGTAGAGTTCATTGAAAGCATTGCTATTCCCACCCTCCATTCCTTTCCAACAAAGCACGAGTTGGCTGTGAATGCCACTTCTATGCAAGGTCTTGTCTCCAGAAGTAAATAACCTAGCCCCAGCCACTTCTGATTTTATTCCACTTTCATTTCCAAACTGCCCGTTTTGCTTTGCATGCTCACGTCTATATCCAGGTCCATTTTGCATGTCAATGTGTTGATGCCAAGTCGAAGTAGAGATCTTTATTTTGAGACCTGTCAACAAGGCAATGCAAAAGATCTCGTAGTTTGAGGTGGCAATTTAGTTTCATTAGCTTGAATGAACCGTCTGAGCCAAAAGAAGATGGACGATAAATGCAAACGTAGTAGGAAATCGCGTTTTTTGGACTTCTTGCTGTTTTACTGATTTGACAATTGCATGAAGGCGAACAAAAAACTTGCGAGCAAGGCAACAATGGCAATTCTTATATGGTGGCCACTCAGTAATGGAGGCAACAGTGGTTTAAACAGCAATAGTGGCAATAAAAAGAGGAGGGAAATTAGGGATACAACGCAAAATGAGTGCCAGTCGCCGGTTGTTACTTAAAACGGTGCCACCTTTATCCCGGCCCAAGGCACAAATCGTTTTCACAGGTCTGTTTAGCTGCGATCTGAGGTCTTGTGATGTGCTGTATGAATAAATACGGAAGCTTCCGTCTACTGATTTGCTAGTATCGGCTCTTTCTAGAGATGCAGTTTTCTTTTACATATTTGAGTTGTCCTAAAGCGGATCGGGTAGATGGATGGATTTTAACCATGGTAATTTTTGGACCTTTAGTAAGTGAACAATCTATTAGGAGCTAATCCTTCTGCATCCAACAAACACCCACACACAGGAAGCAGTCAATCTTGTGGGGATGGATTTGTAAGTGTCCACCAGATTCAACCCAGATTTTGTGATATGAGGGGTTAAAATATCGAGATCTACGCTTTATGAAACAGGAATGAAAAGAATCTTATGCAATTTGTAGATCCTTGGCTGACGAGTCACAAGTTAGTGCAAAAATCCACTCCAATCCCGCTTATTAAAGAATATTTCAAGAAAATAAAATAATTGAAAAATTGACAAGATGGGTAATATCTTCTGAAGATTCAAAATAAAACCCCAACCTGTGAACACTAACACACATCAATTCCGGCCTCTTAAACTGCTTTGGTTAAGTATTTTGGAAAGAGCACTAACAGCACTCCTCAAGAGATCTTTAAAGCAATCCGGTGTGAAAATTCTTACGTGTCAATGGCTAGAGCGCCCACCCGGAGGCGACGTTAAGTCCAACATTAAGTACAACTTTGCTGACCACTTTCACTGGAGTTGGCATCAACAAAGGATACACAATTTAGTCACTTAGCCATTCATCGTCAATTTTATTTCTAACGGAAAATTTTTTTTTTGCCTGATCAAAAAGTTGAGTTGTCCTACAGTATTTTTTTTGTATTTCTAAGCTTTTAGTTAGTGTTTAGTGTTAGTTCTCGAATGAAAAGGTAACCTTCCATCAGGGCTTCTCTGGACGTGTAGCAAAAGTGGCCGCAATTGTGCCAACGGTTTGTACTTTTTCGCTAATGAGAAGGCAAAACTCGCTGAACGGCATCATTACAGGAGCTACTCTATAAACAAATACCTGGTCTCCACACACGTAGTAATTATGTGCATTATGAGGGCTTTTTATTTACTCCAAAGCACAAAGTCTCCTCCATTGATGAGAGACCACTTCTAATACTTTGAGTATTTGTTTTGTTCTATCTTTGGGTTTTGAGGATACTTAAGGCTCCGCCTTTGTACTTTCGCTAAGCGGCAGAGCCTCTAGGCCATACCAGTAGCTTTCCGGCTATCTTCTACTTCAATACCACATATTGTGCCCAAGTATTATGTCTTCTTTCGCCTTCAGGAAGGACTCGAGGAGCTACTTTGGCGGCAGCAGAAAGCAAACCAGGGTAAAGGACAAATACCCTTATTTCTACGGTCGAGTGATAAAAATTAACGTGACAAAAGAAGTGCATATGCTGTAGATAAAAGAACCTGCAAAGCTCCCCCCCCTGGAAGGGCTGAAAATGACTTCTACCTTTGGCAACTGCCTCAGTTCCATGTTCTGCAGGGATGCTATTAACAACAAAAGAGATACTGGCCGTGGTCGTGAACGATTTGGAAAGTTCGTTAAGGAACTGTCTAGGGTACCAGGACGAAGATGTCAATGAAGTGATCCGCGATGCATCATCCGTCTCTCTACCAGGTGAATAGAACCTAGAGCGAGATATGTTAGGCAGTGTTGAAGTGAGAGCAAAGTGACTAGTGGAAGACGTAAAACCTTACCACAGCGAAACCATTAAAGCTTCGTAACGTATTAAGCGATTCGGTTTTTAGGCCGGTAGTCTTAAGTTTGGCCGAATCGTTAGGTGGAATCAGCGATGTGGTAGTCAGGCATCCTCTCAGGTGCACGCAAATTCTATGCCTGGTGCAGCTGGTTCGTGGGTGTTTCTCTTGAAGCAATGACTACATTGTGATAGCCGACGCAAGAGGTTGACCATGGAAAGCGCCGGGGATGAAGCTCAAAGGAGAGGGCTAATATGTACTAATCTAATAGCTTGTTCAACTCCCGGTTCCGGTAACGGACGACTTAGGGTACTTCCGCTGGGCGGCATGGTCTCCGAACCATGTCTGTTGAAGGCAGCCCATCTATGCGTCTACAGTACAAATTATACTTGAGTATTGTGTCTTCTTTTGTCCTCAGCAAAGTCTCTGGACGATGCAAATGTTTGTTGGAAATTTGATTTTGAAAAGCTGAACAGTAGGAGAACTGGGATAAGGGACCACGCACTTTACTTGAAAGTCCAAAAATTCAACCTTTTTAAGTAAATTCCTTCTCACTTAAATATTTTTAACCTAATCCAAATTTTAAAAACCAACTGCTTAGTAGTGAGAAAGAGAAAACTTCAGCCTGCTGTACTAGGACACTTTTTCTACGCTTTATTTGCAACTAGTCTGGTTCATTTATACCCCAACTTCCACTTTCTAAAGCGGTTTGTATCCTTGCAATCTTTTTTCCCAAATCCCAGCAATCATCCACTTCCCAATGCATCTTCACCTTGATTTTTGTCTATTAACAACGAAGTTTCGTTTGCTAAATACATAAAATCCACTTTATTCATTAAACCAGAGTTCTCAAATTTTACCTCATTAAGTTAGCATCATTACTAAGACTGACTTTGTTTTTCTCTCAAAAACTGCCCATCTCCCACCAATGTATCCACCTGTCTTGCACATCTGTTGCGGTCTACTGTACCTCACCCCTCCTGCATACCCTCACTCCCTTCACCCCCGCCTTCGCCTATTCCTCTCACCCTATTCCCCAAACGGTAGGCGGCCCAAGGGCCGGACATGGCAGCGCATTTTGTTACAATCTGCTGTTATTCATCTGTTTCTGGTGTGTCTGGGGAGATGATTCCCGCGCCGCAAGCGGGGTAAAAAAGCATGCGAACATATTTAAATTCGAGCGAAGTTCTTGTCTCTGTTGAAGTTACCCCCTGAACCACACGTACCGTTATCATTGCCTGGCTCCATTATGAAACACAAGAATGGTCGTTGGGCCACCGCAAGTGATGAGATTTTGCATCAGCGTAATACAGTTGGCTTCCAGAAGGAGAGGAGGACTGCCAGAGAAATCCTTAGGCCATCACTAAACAAGGCGGGCGGTTTGTGGACGCACCATTCGATAAATCAACGCTCCATCTATTCCATCTTTACATCAATTCCATGCCCTCTGTTAAAGAACTCCTTTGTTTTTTTGCCAATAATTCTTTGAGGATTTGGTCAAATGCTTCGTTTTACTATCTAGTTAGAAGGCAAAAAACACTTTAAGTCTTCTTATCCAATTAATTCTTCCTTATTTTGATTTATATCAACACAAGGGTTACGTGTCGCATTAAATAATAGCCGCCATATCACAATACGTATTCAGCCATAGTCATACTTCACTTCTGGTCTCGTATCACTCATGGATTAAAAAATCTGCTCATGTAGTGAAGAAACCTCTTTTGAAGCAACAGGTTCTGCCATCGTCTCACGGCATAATTATTTTCAGGTTGTCTAAGTTTCTTTCCGAAAAACGGTTGTGCAAGATGTGATCAAGTTCGGACATTACAGCCTATTTTTTCGACTTTTCCGTTATCACAGTAAACTAATTGACGCCGTAAAGGAGACCCGGTGCCAGAACAAGCGAACGCGTAATAACCCCCTAAATAAAACCAACTTTTGAACCTCCTAACTACCAATAGTTGTTAAGAGCCACACAGAAAATGAAATATTACAGAATGATAGTTGATTTAATGGAATATTTGGTCACAAGAGCCTCTGCAGTCTTCCATAACTCGGCTCTCACGATAATGGCATGCGGCTACACTCATCCTGCTGCATCCTTGCAGCAAGACTCCCAGTTGACTCGAACAACTTAATGTCCTTGGAGATGACTAGAACATCACATTTTAAAAGCTAGACTGCCCTGCTACAGGTAGTGTCTTGACACTAAGCCTAGAC